GTGACAGCTTAAGGCTGTGTCTCAAAAAAATAAATAAAATAAAAATAAACCATGTATAAAGTATTTTGTATCATTTCATATGCCTTATTTATTTAAAAATAAATAAAATAAAAATAAACCATGTATAAAGTATTTTGTATCATTTCATATGCCTTATTTATAAAGTCACCATTAATGAATTTGGGGTAAGTCATCTTAAGACTCCATAAAGATCAATCATATTCTATCCCTATGGTTGTATGTAAAGTGTTCAGTGCCAGGCCAGCGCCTGTGGCTCAGTGAGTAGGGTGCTAGCCCCATATACTGAGGGTGGCAGGTTGAAACCGGCCCCAGCCAAACTGCAAGAAAAAAAATAACCAGGCGTTGCGGCGGGTGCCTGTAGTCCCAGCTACTCGGGAGGCTGAGGCAAGAGAATCACCTAAGCCCAGGAGTTGGGTTGCTGTGAGCTGTGACTCCACAGCTCTCTACCAAGGGCCACATAGTGAGATTCAGTCTCTAAAAAAAAAAAAAAAACAGTTCAGTGCCTCACCAGAGGGTCTCATTCGTTACAATATCGTGAATTATCGTTAATTATTGACTGGCATGGGATCTGCTTTGTGGATTGTCTGTCCTAACTCAGAGATTCCTCCTTTTGTTACCTAGCTAGATCCCAAATAAGGCTGAAGAGTGGAAGGTAGCAGAGTCCAATGCAGGAAAGGACACAAGTATATGTTAAAGACGTGTGTATTTGTATCCATCGTATATGTGATAGTCTATCTAAGATTGTCTGTATGCATAACTGATGGACAAACCCACCCAAAATATGTGGATTTTAATTGTTCTGCTTCTCTTCTGTAAACAAAAGACAGATGAAATGTGGGTTTGGGAATAATAATTCACCAAAAGTAGTGAGAAAGTAAGAAGTAGAGCAAAAAATTCCATGAAAAGAAGAAAAAAATAGAGCAAAAAATGAAGAGTTATAGTGGCATAGAAGTTGGTGAATTTGAAATTTGTTTTACAAAAACAAAAGAGATGATTTAAGATCAATTGCCCACTATAATAGAAGGTGAAATAGATTGGCTATAATAGAAGGCGAAATAGATTGCTGTCAGCACTCATTGGAAGAGAGATTCTCAGCTGTGTATCTACTGGGATACAGCACATAAAACTTCGCCTTATACCTGCAAGAGCAGTGGTTCTCAACCTTCCTAATGCCACAACCCTTTAATACAGTTCCTCATGTTATGGTGACCCCCAACCATAAAATTATTTTCGTTGCTACTTAATTGTGTACAGGTGAACAGAAGGTCAGGAGTGACTGGCCTGACAGGTATAGAAAGAAGTGGGATTGACTCAGTGCCTGTAGCTCAAGCGGCTAAGGCTCTAGCCTCAAACACCTGAGCTGGCAGGTTTGAATCCAGCCCAGGCCTGCCAAAACAGTAATGACAACTACAACCAAAAAATAGCCATGTGTTGTGGCGGGCGCCTCTAGTCCCAGCTACTTGGGAGACTGAGGCAAGAGAATCGCTTAAGCCCAGGAGTTAGAGGTTGCTATGAGCTGTGATGCCATAGCACTCTACCTATGGAGACAGCTTGAGGCTCTCTCTCTCAAAAAAAAAAGTGGGGTTGAGTTTAACTATAGGCAGTTAAACTATAGCAGTTAAAAGTGGGATTGAGTTTAACTATAGGCAGTTAAACTATAACAGTTAAAAATAACTGTTGGACTATTGCTCAAGCTAAAGGACTCAAGAATAATGTATTAGACAGCCAGGCACAGTTGCTCACTCCTTCAATCCTAGCACTCCACAAGGCCAAGGCAGAAGGATCACTTGAGCTAAGGAGTTCAAGACCAGCCTGAGCAAGAGCAAGACCCTGTCTCTACTAAAAATAAAAAAATTAGGTAGGTATTGTGGCATGCATGTGTAGTCCCAGCTACTCAGAAGGCTGAAGCAAGAAGATTCCTTGAAATTAGGAGTTTGAGGTTGCTGTGAACTAGCCTGAGGCCATAGCACTCTAGTCTGATAGAGCGAGACTGTCTTTTTTTTTTCCTTTTATTAAGTCAAATATACATAGATCGTGAATACATTTATGCCTGTATGGGATTCCATGTGTTGATTCTTTGTACAAATCGGAGTGCTTACATCCAGCCAACCAATCAACATAGCTTTTACCTCATTTACTTAATCATTGTGTTAAGACATTTGTGTTCTGGCTTGGTGCCTGTGGCTCAAGCAGCTAAGGCGCCTGCCACATACACCTAACGTGGCGGGTTCGAATCCCCAGCCCGGGCCCGCCAAACAACAATGATGGCTGCAACAAAAAAATGGCCGGGCGCT